CAGAACTCAACAAAGTCAGAGCAGAGAAGTTCAATGAGATGCAAACAATGGAAACTGATTTGGTACTGGGAGAAAAATAGACAGAAATAGGACAGTACATATGAATATCACCTGTATTTATGTATTATATTCTATAAATAAAACCTGATATACATATAATAAATATGACGAGTTATACATATACATATATACATATTATGCATGTATATGCATATAAAATGTACAAAAACAGACTTGAGCCTGCAGGTGCCTCTATGCAAAAAGATTGCATATGACTTGGATTACTGCATGCAGACTCTATGCATAAACAAGCATTTCCCTGTACAAAGCACTGTGTAGGATAAGGACTGGATCTGTCATTATGGAGCTATCTGCACTGGAAAAGTGGAAACAATTTTGTGGGTTCCCTCCCCTTTCCTAAACCATGCAGGGAGATGGAGCTGAAGCTTAAAAGGAAACTTAGGCCTTAAAAGTGCACTGAAGGAAAATATAACTTCAGCAATAATAATTTTAAAAGCCCAGTAACAATACAGGTTATATTCTGGGGCGAGCCTGAGTTTTGGTGCAAGCAAAAAGCAAACATAAAAGAGAAACATTCCATTTCTGCAGCAATCACTGTCAAACCTTTAGCCAAGGCAAGCTGCTTCAAATCCAAGAGCAACTTCAAAGCATTCCTGGGAAGGAAAGCATGAACAAGAGGGCAGGTGAGGACCAAGACAAGCCTCAGAAGCAGAGCCCTCAGGGGACTGGGGAAGGAAGGCACCCAGCCACCTGACCACAATTTCAAGAGAAAAACCATCCAAATGACTAGTTGGCTGTCCACCCTCTCACCCTTGTAAGGCTCACCAAGTGAAAAACAAACATAAAACCCAAACACGTGCCAACCTTGAGATACTGTCCACTTGCTGCAGTTGATCCCAGAGGATGAAAAGCCCCATGCAGCTGCTGCAGCCCCTGCCCTGTAGGTTTTTACCTACAGACCTCACATCCAAAACAAGGGGCAGCTGCTGTTCCAAGAAGTTTGTGCCTACAACACACAAGGCAAGGGGTGAGAGGGAGGGGATGGACCCTTCAATTGCACCACAAGTGACACAGGAGGCTAACCAGTGTGTCTTCTGAAACTCCTGGTGTCCCTTGCTTCTTGCTGACTACAGCCTTCCTTTCCAAAGGGATGCAGAGACAGGAAGAGTGGAGAAACATGTACCAACTGTAATAGAAAGCAAAGATTTTCTTTCCTAACCATTTATGACTGTCAAGCAAACCTGCACCCTAAAATCCCTGACAGGACCAAGAAGTCTCCTTTATCCATCAGCCTTATCTTCTGCCTCCCCTCCCAGCTTCCTGATATCTTCCCAGTAAGTTTTTTCCTCTTCACAACAACCTGCCATGCTTCTTTGCTGCTACACTGCAGTTGTCTCTTAAAACCCACAATTCACAAACAGAAAGCAGAAACCTTCTCTGAGAGGAGTGGCAGAACCAGTACAGCTCATCGGTACCTGGGATGCAGCCTCCTTTCTTGGCAAGACATGGATCCCTTCACAGGCCAGGATCCTTATTCTCCAGCTCCAGCAAACACAAGTGTACAGTCAGAGAGCTGCAAGCAAGCAGCCCAAACCTATAAACCTCTCTCAAATATCTTAAAAGTTTATGCAAAATTAAATATAATAATAGATTCTTGGGAAGGAAAAAAAAATACATACCAGACATCTTGCACACATCTGCTTTAAAGTGGTTACACTTGTCAGTGTATTCATAAACTGAAGATTTAGGGACTGATGCTTTCAGAGAGTGCACATTATTAACAACTTGCAAGTGTTCAGAAAAGGTCTTCCACTTAAATCTACGGAAATAATCTAAATACAGTGAAACTGGAATAAATAACTTAGGAAAAACTGGTGTTGGGATCCTGATCTTATGGATATTCACATTCACTTTCACTTTGCAGTCAACAGGACTTCTCAGAAAAGTTGAACCCAGATCTGACACACTTGCCTGGCTTTACACTTTCAGCACTGTTGTTGTTGCTGTTTTTAAACTCTTCAGGCAAGATTTCCCAACAGGAAGCTGCTCCAGCTACCCCAAAGTGCTGCTCCCACAGGAGCCTCCAGCCTTGGCTGGACTGTAAATGTACAGCCACCACTGCTATCTGCAATGCACCCATTGCCATGGAAACAAACTTCGTATTTAAAGACTATTTTTAAAGTCAGGCAGGCAAGGACACCAGATCCATGCAGAACAAAACCAATCCAACCACCCATCACCCTCTGTGGGGACATCTTACTTACATCCTACCTGAAGGCTGGACCAGTTTGGGGCTCCACTGGCACTTGCAGCTCTCAGGTGGCACCCAAGGGCTGAGCAACAGATTGGCCTCACATAATTAAAATGCACTGAGTTAGAAGAGACACACTGTAAACCAGCTGGCATCTAAATATACCCAAGCACACTGCACTTAAGAAGTTACCTTTCTGGAAAGGAGCTAGCAGCTCCAGGTCATGTTAACAGAACACCTACTGGAATTACACTCCCAGTAAGGATCATAACTGATGCCTTTTTCAAGTACATATTACCTAGTCAGACAGGCTAAGGAGCCTAGCCCTAGACCACCTCCTCCTTCCTCTTGCCTGTCTCTTTTCTCCTCTTTGTCTGTCCATAAGCTCCCACTGACAAGAAGGGTTAGCACTGCTACACACTCTGGGGAACAAGACACCAATGCTCACTGCTAAGACAATCACAAAAGGTCTAAAAAGAGACTTCTAAGAAGAAATACTACACTGTTGACAACTGCAGCAAGAGTCCAGCAGCCTGCCCAGTAGGGTAGTTATTTGGAAAAGGTGACTTTTTTGTCTATTCTTTACACTAACCCCTTTGCCAAGGGAACTGGAGTTCACCAGTGTTGCCGAGAGCACTGTGTACCTCCACATCTAACAATGCAGATGGTCTCAATCTTCAGCACCAAGTCTTGCAGTACTGCCACCTGTGAAATCTCCCTCTCCCCCTCTCACAGAGTCAGGAGAGGTCGTGAGAGTGATTCCAGGGTAAAGATTAAATAAAATCCCAAACATCAGGAACAACTCCTCCACCTCCTCCTCCTCTCTTACGAAACACTGCAGAATGAGCAGAAGATGAAATGCTTTCCATTCATTTTCTATTTTTAAACTCACTTGTTAACGTTTCTTGGCTTTTTAAAATATCATTTGACCAGAGCTCTACTAATTACCCAGTAGTCTCAGCAGTATGAATTTCTTAAGGATTTTTCCCCAAAGGAAACTCCCCTCACATTTAGCCTAGTTTGGAGCTTCTCTCTACTAACTTCTAGGGAAGTTTGCTTTATGAAGTTTCTTGTGCTTCTTCTCCTGCCACAGTAAAAGTATCTGTCATTTCCTTTGAGCATTAATTTAAAGATATCCACATAAACCAGTTTGGAAATATAGAAAGGCAAGGCTTTATGTAGACAATGTTTCCAAATGATTTTTAAAAATTTCATCTCACATCAAAAAGCCTTCTCTCAGGTTTTATGTATTGTCCTCAGTGAAACGCAGCCAAATATGTGAAATCTCTAACAGGCCACACCTGGTTTTAAGAGAGTGCTTTGGACTGCAAAATTGTCAGCGTATGAAAACTGATGTCTTGCTGGATCTTCCTAAACAACTTAGCTTGTTAATGCTTAGACGTAAGTACTAATCTCTCCCTTTTATTACAAAGTGGTTTAGTACTCTGCTTCATTTCACTTGAAGTTAATGCTGAACACACAAACATTATTAGGAGTGAAAGTCTGTCTAAGAGTTGCAAGTTATTCATGGCCTTGCTTCTCCACCAGCACTAGCTTTTGAACTCCCCTTCTTGCTAGTAGGCATTCACATAGCAGAACAAGCAGATTGGATCCTGTCCTCCCACCATTCCTGCATTTCCCTTTTTCCCCTCCAGATGTTTATAACTGCTGAATTAAACATAGCTGCTAAAAAATGCTGGTGGTGTTCCTTGTATCCTGTGTACCACTATTTCCTACTTTTTTTCTTAGAAGTAAAAAAAGAAAAAAAAAAGAAACAGGACTTCAGAGTCAGGTTTAAAGACCAACACACATGAAATTTCATTCATTCCTATACACATATTTAAAAAACACAAATAAAAGGAGCTGATTTTCATTTTGGGATACTAGAAAGTTCCACTACTGAACATAACTATAGTTTAAAGAGGTTTTTTTTTTGTTCTTTTTTTAATAAACCTGAAGTGACATAGGTTAGAAGAGACCTCTAGAGATCAGCCCCTTGCTCAAAGCGCAGGCAGCTCAGGTAAGGTTGCTCAGGGTCTTTTCTTCCTCAACTTTGAATACTTCCATAGTTGATGACATCATCTGTGTTCAAGTGTTTGACATGCTCATAGTGAAAAAGGTTTTCTTAACATCCGAGTGGAATTTCCCTTCTTGCAACCTGTATCATTACTTCTTGTGCTATCGCTGTGCATCTCTGAAAGGAGTCCAGATCTGCCTTCTCTGCATCCATGCATCAGAGAGCTGCAGACCACAACAATACTTCCCCTCTGTCTCTTCTCCCGAAGACTGAAACTCCATTGCACTCACTCTTTCCTTACACATTACATTGTACAGCACCCAAACGTCAAGGTTGTCTTCATTTGACTCATTTGATTTATTGGTCTCCATTTATCTTAAACAACCAAAGATTCAGATACATGGAAACAAGCCTATTTCTGGACCTTCTCCCATTTATTTTGGATGAACACTTAGTTTTAATGCAGTACAATGCAAAGTTAGTAATTTCTGCTGAGCACAATTTCCCTCTCTATGGACCAATTGCTTGATTGCCTGCAGACTGAAAACAAACCAATCCCATCTGTGACTTCATTGTAGATATTTCAGTTAGCACAGAAGATTCACATGCACCTTTAACATACCACTACCCCACCAGAAACATTCCATTACTCCATCATCAAGCAAACAAGGACAAGTAGATCAACACTGATTTCGCACACGGCAGTATTACCTTCATTAAAGTTGTCATCAGTCGAGATGTGGGTCAGCGGTGACTGGGGCCGGGAATCCCCACACAAGGAGTAGCTGTGCTCTGCCTGGATGAGTGGTGCTGGGGATGCTGGAGACAGTTCCACCTCCATCACTTCATTCTTCTCAGACAAGAAGGGATCGTTCAAGAGCTGGCCTAGGACATCTGGTGAGAACTCATCCAGGAACTCTGTGAAGTGCTGTGGAGATAAAAAGGGAAAAAGTTTGTCTCCTTGCCTGTCATGCCAACAACAGGACAGTTTTGATCAGAACAATCTCAGTATCTGTAGCAGGCATGCATGTCAGTCAGCAGCAGGAACTACCAGCCCTGCTCCAGTGAAAACAGAAGAGTTTATGATTAACTCACAATGAAAACAGAAAATAGAAGCACAGCAGCCATGTCCTGAGGCAGCCTCCTTACTTTCTCTAGAGGTACTCCCTACACACCCTGCAGGATTTATTGTTAGGATGTGCCATGTGTGGAATAGAACACATGGGTGGTCACTGAAGCACAGAGAAGAGAAAGGAAACAACTCGGGCTTATATTGTCTGCCACCACAATTCAATTCTAGTTGCAACAGAACATACACCACAATCCAGCAAAAAGAGTCCGCATGTCCCCAGGCAATTCATTTGCTATACAGTGGAATTTCTGGGTAATTTATACAACTATTCCAGACACAGCATTCTAGCAACATTCAGCTTCTAGGCCCTACAACTGGAGCTCCTGGCAGTCACTGCTAATTACCACTTTACCTATTACACTAGCAATGCATTCTATGACTGCATGCAATAGGATAACTTTGTGCTTGTTTCTTATTCAAAACAAGCAGAAACCAAATCTCCTGATCTACTTCCTAGAGAGCCCAGTGCAGTTTCCAGCAATATCCAAAGAGACTGCAGCTCTTCTTGTTTTCATTTCAAGTATCAGAAGACTACAGAAGAAACTGTACTGCAAGAAACCATTCCTCCTTGTTTTACACACAGAGAAATCTATTTTGGTACAAAAATATTTGTGCAATGAATTGTAATGAGCTTTTCTAAACAATCAGGCATTATCTACCATCTCATATAGGAGTCTTTGTCAACTGGGGCCTGGTCCTAAGAAAGTCTAAGTCTGCTTGATTTGCTCTGTTTTTGCAGGCAGCACTGATCTTGGCCCTTCATCTTGCTCTCTCCTGCAGAAACAAACACTAAAATTCAAGATCTAGCTTCTTGTAGGGTAAATTAAGAATCAAACTAGTCCATACTGTATGATTCCACAAGAGAAGCAGTGTGCTTACACTCCTCGCATTCCCTTTACACCACAGCAACACTTGTGGCCACAAAGCCTGGTGCTAGAATATGCCGAGCTCGAGTAGCTCTCACAGAGCCCACCAAGCACCCAAAGAGACACAGCCCCTCCTCCAAACGTTCACCGGTACTAACTGGGACTTCTTTCAAAATTCGTAAGCCTTCAGTCAATTCTGACAGGCACTAAGGAAAATATTTACTAAACACAAGGCAGTGAACAGAGGAACACAGTTAACTATGCTCAAACAGCGTTTACAAATGGCAAAATGGATTTGTAGTTTCATATTAACTTGCTGTGAATGATAAAACAACTAAACTAACTCTGAAATGACTCAGCGAGGGGGTCATGACCACCTTCAAAAACCTTGTTTTAGTTTCAATACCCAAGGACTCAGTAGCTCTCACAACTAGAGCTGCTTCCCATCTGCTAAATGTATAAGCCACGCTTCCCTATTAGCACAAGCTACAACAGGACTGCTTCAGTATTTGTGCTCTGGTTTCAAGACAGCTGAAAGACAAAATGACCATGGGCTACATGGCTATCTTTAGTAAATTCACATAAAGATTCCTGCATAATACTGTTTCAACACGGAAGAAATTTGTATCAATTGCTATGTAAAAAACTTTAAGCAAATGGAAGAAGTAAAGTTAAGATTACTTTCCTTTTAAATGGGGAATTTTCCTAATACCACTTCAGGAAAAGCAGCAAAGGAAATAAACTTTCAACTTCCCAAAACCAGACAGAAAGAGGGCCTTGGGGCAGGGAAGGGAGTCCAACATGTTCTTCAACATGCGTGCTCTCTGTTTTTCTGCTGCATCTGCAGAGCTGACGAGCAGCAAGCTGCATGGAAGAAATGGAGTGCATTTACAGCAGAACCTTCTGACAGCAAATAAATGCTCTATCTATTCTTAAAATGGTTCTCTAATTTTGTTGTTGTGTTTCCATCTTATTTTTAAAGCCTGCGATGTAACTTTGAGCACAGAAGTCCTAAAGGAGTGTGACAGGCCAGATCACACAGCTGCTGGATTCCACTAAGAGATACAGCTTTAGGGTCTGGACTTCTCAATTATTAGAGAAAACAATACTGCTCGAGATACAGGAGTATTTTCTATGTTACACACATCTCTACCACACTGAACACATGAAACTTGCTTTTTTTTTTCCCTTAAGAAAACAGTAGTCTATTGAAAGCAACTCCATTTGATTAAAGGTTTCAAAAAGGCATTTGAGCAACAGCCACAGCTTTCAGGGAGCAGTGAGACATCAGCCTCCTCACAGTTCCCACCCACACTTAAACTGTTCCTTTCTCCCTTCTCAAGGCACATCCTCCATCCCTCCCACCATTTCCGCATGACCACAGTGGTCAGCAGCAACTTCCAGAGCAGAACATCCACAGATCAGCCCTCCATGCTGATATTGCAGCGATCACCTCTGCGCTCCAGAGGAGGAAAAGGCAAATCAGAGAGGAAGCTGAGAAGACTGTCAGAAACTCAATACCTATTTGGTTGAAAAAGAAAGGAATTCTTTGTCTGTGGCTTTCAGTTTGGCATCTTTCCCCAACAGAGTTTATCTTTAAAAAAAGAAAAAAGGAAAAAAGAGTACTTGCATCAAAAATGAGGTTTTTGGTTTTTTGTTTTTGTTGTTGTTGGCAATGGCTTTCTTTTTTAATAAAATACAGCTCTGTTGCAGCTCCTGGCCACCCCGCTATTGGTGCTGCAGTGGCACAGGCTGCCCAAGGAGGTGGTGGAGTCACCATCCCAGGAGATGTTCATGAAATGTGTGGATGTGGCTCTGAAGGACATGATCCAAACCAGTCATAGGCACAGGGTGATGGTTGGACTAGATGATCTTATTGCTCTTTCCAACCTTAATGATGATTCTATAATTCTATACCCTCACACCCCACTGCCAGCGACAGCACTAGTTACAGACATTTGTATAAGGAGTGTATTTGAATTAATAAATAGTTCTCTCTACGTAGCAAAAATATGTGTTTAGTTGTGATTTGAATTAGGACAGATATAGCCTTATCTTCCCCCTCTCCCAGAATACTTTACAAACAAGCAAAACACCAGGGCTCATGTTTGCAGGGAGAGAGTTGCAGCTCCATGGAGTTTCTCTGCCAATCTGTTGGGACATTTACTCCCACTTATAAGCCAGGTGCTTTAGGGGAAACACAAAACACCTACAGATATCATCCCCACGGTAAGAAAACAGAGGAGGGTTTTTGCATCCGGCCGCGTGGTGGATTTTGGATGTTTTTTAGCAAGTCATATTTGGCCACAGCCCAAGTGAGCCGCAGGCTGCAGCTCTCACAGCATTACTGTTCCTGCCAGACAAAGCCCCTTTTCTCTACTTCTGCCTACGGGAAAAGTTTTTTTCTTCTCTGCTCAAATGGACAGCTCTGAAGTGAATCAGAGACTCAGGTTTGGGTCCTTCCATAGGAGTGCTGACTTCTCCAGCCTGAAGTCAGACCAGAGAGTGCTGGTTATCTCAAGCTGTCATGTTATCAGGACTAAGACTGAAACAGAAAACTGGCTTTCAAAGGACTCACTAAAAAAAGCAATGAAGTCGATAGCCCTAAATGATACTCCTTAATTACATTATTAAACAAGTGGCATGCTTTGGTGAGCCTGTAAAACACACTACACCCACTAGGAGGCCTACGTGCTTCCTGCAGGGGTTACAACCAAAGCCCACCCTTCAGGAATCTCAGAGCATGCTGGCCTACACACACTGTGCCAGGGTGCACCCCAGGCATGAATTTGTCCTCCTCTCTGGTTTCCTCTCTCACTGTAAGTTAACAGGGAAAATAGGGAATCGTTTCTTCACTCGCTCTCTTGTGGTTTGTATAAATCAAAGGTACACAGGAGATAAAATACAGAAAGAACCATTTCTAGTTAGTAGCATCAAACATCAGGATAGAGAGGCTACATGGAGATACCATCTCCTTTTCAAGCAACCAAGCACACATTTCACAGGCATCTGCTTATATGGTATCCAAGAAGGTCTGAATAGGATCCACAGCTGCTAACACATGGATTCAAACTCTAGGGCACCCAGGCAAAGAGCCAGTCGTTAAAGATGGCACATACGTGCTTTTCACTCTCAGCAGGCTCAGCTCTAAACTTGGTTATAATGCAAAAGCCATAAAATGCATCATACACAGTTCTGCTTTAAGCATGCAAGTGCAGCATCTACTCATTAGGAGGAAAGTCTTAGTCAGAGAGTGGTGAAGCAGTGGTGCCCAAGACAGGTTGGATGGGGCCCTGGGCAGCCTGAGCTGGTGGGAGGCAGCCCTGCCTATGGCAGGGGGTTAGAACTGTTGGGCTTTAAGGTCCTTTCCAACCCAAGCCATTCTGGGATTTTATGATAAGGACCTGAAGCAGAAATCTGCTCTTTGCAGCTAAAGAACCATGCCTAGACACTGCTCATGGAGGACTACACATGTAGTCCTACTAATGATGATGATGCAGGGATTCCCGCACACCCAAACCCAAGGACACGTACTGAAAAGCTCCCTAAGCTTCCAAAGGACCAAGAGAACTGTTCTCAGCACTCACTGGCACTTGTGCATCAGTTCACTGTCACACAGATTCAGACAAATACTCTGCAAGTTTTCAGGTACATCACATCCCTCAAATTCTTCCTCTTCTGGCATTTTTTACATTTGCAGCAGGGAAGCTGGCCAACCCTCATTCTTCTCCAAACTCAGCCACAGACTGAGTCACGTGGTACACAGCCCTGTCAGCCTTAAGGGCTAATGATGGAGCTCCCAAGAGCCTCACCTCCACGATTCATTCCCACGTGCCCTTCAGGGAACAGAAGAGCGCACCTATGGGCACAGGATGCGCTGATACATCACTGGTTTGAGGCACAGATCCAAGCTCTTACAAGGATGAGATA